GCAAATGCATCTCGTAGGTGTCTGGATCATCAATAGAATAATTTGTCTGGTTTAGATTCACAGTACATGCAGGAAGACGGTTCATAAAAATTTACAGAATGGAGCTCAATTCCACATACAAAAGTTTTGACATGAACCAACCACGAGTATTTCTCAAAACATTGACATGACAAAAAGAAAAATATGTTGACAAATTTGGAAGGCAATTCCAATTTTATTACAAGTCATTTGAAATTCACAGGCAATGCAGTGCATCAGAAGTTTGAAGAAATGGAAGCTAATAATCTACCTTTACAAACACAATATAAATACTTCTTGACTAAAAGTAATATTAATATATTATAAACCAGAAAGCCCCATATCCTCAATTATTTATAGTGCACAATCTCACTGCCACATTCTGATTGTGGTAAACAAAAGGAAAATTTGTCTTGGATAGCCATAAGTATCGCGGCAAAAGTTATTTGTCTGCAATTCCACCTCTCTTTATATATATAGTACTTTCTTTATTAGTCTATAAACAATAATGACATTAATCAAGCCAATATATTTTGTGCTCACATGTACCATGCCTTGATGTAATTTCCATAGTATTTTCACTAACAAGTTGCAGAGAAGAGACTAATGGAAAGGCTTTTATGTACAGAGATTTATTACTCTTTGAAACAGGTGAGGTTTTCCTGATACTTTTCTAAGGTCATGCTTTTAGGAATATCTTTTACTTTCCACCCTGCTGAGCAATGTTAATTGTGGCAATGCCAAGCTTAGTGCCATCAGAACAATTCTTTTCTGAAATTGGTAGCTCTTGGATATAATCAACCTTTGCGGGGGTAGATGCTGATGGACAATCCTTGCTTTTCCCCCACACCACAGAATAGAGGCCGATTGCGATAATAACTCCTCCTATGATACTACATGCAACATGAAAGAAGAAAACATAAGCTAATAAAAGGATAGGAATTGAGAAGAACAAATACCTAAAGTTGTACCTTTTTCTCCTTTTCTTTCTTTATTATGGCACTTGCTCAAAGTTTTATTTACAGTGCGTAATTGATGGCTTTGCCATGGTTGTCTTTATAAATTTATTCATAAAAAAGGAAAAAACCCAAAGCAATGTGTAAGATGAGAACTCCTAGAAATGTTTGTTTTTCTTATGCTCCATTCGCTAATCTATAGGACAAAGAAGAAAGAAGCTCACCAAATTTTCCTTCTTAATTTAGATAGTGCATGATTATTTGAAAGCACCTTTAGTAATTGGGGATTGGGTATGCTAATGGACCAGGCTTGCCTTATAATATACTTCATCTTATTTCTTTTAATTGGAGCATTTTTGATTCAAGGTTGATCACAAGTCATAAAGGAAACTATGCCACCATAAATAGTCTTACCAGTAAAAAGTGATTGCTGAAGTTGCTTTTGGACTAATGATTTTCATTATTTTTTTAAACTTTGATTTTTTAGTGTCCTGAAAGGAGTTGTACATAAAAATGAAATGATTTTGTATATGATGCTGGAAAGATGGGTCAATATACCTTCCAAGGTGAATTTGCTCGCCTAGGATGGCAGAACCAAGAGCAGCAACGATTATCATGCAGAGAGGATTGAAGGCAGTGACAAATACAGGGCCTCTTGTTTTCATGACCAGACCTTGCACATAGTATGTAATTCCAGAGCTAACTACACCCTTCATTAAAACCAGGTTGGTTTAGGTAAGCCGGTCATTTGATTAAGCAGATCTTATTATATTGGCCAAACCAATGAAACACTTGAAACTAAAGGTATTTATAGTTTTAGGAACATACCAAACAATTCAAACTTCAAAGTAATATTTATAGTCTGATCACATCCTGATAGCACAGAATTATAGACCTGAAAACATGGCCTAATCTGCTTTTCTGTTTTGATGATAATTTTCCTAGATATAGGACTTTACCAAGGGAATATTAGGTACTTACTGAGTACAATGGAGCCAAAAGCCTAGAGTTCCAGCCAACTGCCCATCCACTAGGGCGATGCTCTACAGCTAGGGCAATTCCCAAACTCTGGATTGCACCCGCCAAGCATATCAAGGAGGAAAGAGAGATTTCTGCCGGGTATTTTTTTATGGTAATTGACTGTGCCATTTGAAAAGGAAAAGTTGATTAATTACCTGAAGTTTAAGATGTTTTTAGATTGTGCATTTCCAAGCATGATGTTTTTATAATGGATCTGTTATTTGACTATAAAAAACTACAGTTCCACCCATTAGTGGATGGTTGATGGCATGTAAGACCGAACTTACTTGCAGTACATAGAAACAGGACCAGGCAACACAACCTACAAGGATTAATAGTGTCCCAGATATCCAGTGCTTATCAGATGAGACGCCACGGCTTCCATGGTGGCTTGTTTTACTTGACCATATTAGATCAATGACAGGGCCTTTGTAAAGTGTCATAAGTAAAGCTCCTGAAAGGGTTACCAGGGTCCCAATGACCTTCGCTTGACTGCGTCCTTCCTTAATCCTTACATGCTCTAATCTGATCAGACAATTTTACTGTTTAGCAGTAATACTTAGAGCACAAGTATCTAAAAGAACTATGGAAAGAAAAGAAAAACTTAGCCGTTTATTAAGCAAATGAGCAGCTAAGAAAGGTTGTTGATAGTAGTTTAGAATGTAGGGCATCTTATATTGGATAAAAAAATTTAATTATTAATTTTGTATTAATTTTATTTATATTTTAATTAATTATATTCGAACACAAATAATTATCATGTGATAAATTGTCATAACTATTTAAATATAAATGGATTATTATTCATAAAAGTCATGATTATACAAAAAGTCATAACTATCAAAATAGAAGTTTATATTTGTTCATTTATTATAAATAAATCTTTCAGTATAATCATTTTCACTGTTTTTGATCGGAGAGTTTGAGGTTTTATTATATCCTAAAAGCATAATTACCTTTAAAAAAATGTTTTTTACGTCTCAAAACTAAAATTTTTTTCTATTGTGTTTCTTCTCTTGTTTATTTTTTTTAACAATTTTAAAAGTAATTATGAGAAAGTTATATTTTGCATAAAGAAGATACAAAGAAAAGAAATTGGTATGTTGGAGATCAATATTAGAGAAAGCTCAAGTTGTCAAAGAATTAATATTTCTATTGACCAAAATATTAATTTTTATAAAGATCTTCATTAAAGGTATGTATTTTATTATTTATATAATCACTTGTAAAAAGATTAATTGAATGAGATAAACACATTAACAATTTATTTCATTAGTATGTAAATTCAAAACATAATATGCAAAATATTGATTACATTGTATAAGTTTATGCATATACTAAAATTGACTCTACAATTGGTTTAATGAATTGTATTATATCTATTTGAAAAATCAATACTTATAAAGACTAGGATGGGAAATAGCTTAAAAACATAAAAGAGAAAGACATGAATTAATTTGTGATCAAAAGAATTATCATTTGCTATAAAGTAACAAATTAAATTAGTTTCTAATGGAATGATCGATTATTTAATTGTCATGTTTTGGTTATATATAGAACAGGCAAATTGTCACATGGTTTCTATAAAAACAATAAAAAATAGATAAAAGTATTTACCATGAAAAATTAGATATAAGTGAATAATATATGTAGAAAATAAGATTTGATTGCAAGATTAGTTTTATTTTTAAATCATAGCACCAAAATTGAGATAATAAGTTAAGTCAAGCTATTTTTATGGTTTTATTTTTGTTGGTCATTTATAAATCAAATGTTGATATTTTTTAAAAATTTATTATTGGTTTAAATTTTGACTTGTATTTAATTTTCATGAAAATTAATTAAAATTAAATTAATATATGTGAATAATTATTATTAAAATATGGTGGTTCATGAATTAATTGATGGATAATAAACCAAATAATTGTTATTATTAAAAACATAGGCAGTGTGACGTATATTTTTACCTACTAGGTGTATTACATTGAAGTGATTTTACAAAATAAAATTTTATCCTAAATAATCACAAAGTTAAAATCATAAATAGTCATCAAAGAGTTAATCAGTGATTACAAAAAAGTATTATTGTTTTTCATATATGGAATATTGATTAAAATGAAAAGGTATGTTATTAAAAAATATTGAAGCATTTGTCGGTTACTAAAATTTTAAAAGATTCTCATCAATGTCTAATTAGGTATGTTTATAAATTAGAAAAGAACATGCAAATTCAATGTTTCAAAGGCACCAATACATGCATGCATTTAATTCCATTTTTGTGATGGCATGGAGAATATTGGTGTAGTTTGTCATATATTACGAAAATGAACTGAATGAGATGAAATTTTTTTTCTTATACATATAAAAAAGATATGGACTATGGAGATAGAATGTCATCATCTAATTAATACATTATTGGTTAAAGATAATGAAGATATTTTTGCTTCTTGTACCAGAAAAAATGGCTTTTTGTTGGCTGTTAAAATGAAAAGTGAACAAGTTCCCAAGGTTTTCAATAGTTTATGACAATGGTAAGGATGTGGTTGGTTATATATCATATTAACATACAAGCTTAGATAATAATATTGGTTTATGAATGCCATAACCCTTATAGTTAGCCAATTGGTGATTTAACTAATGCAAATTCATCACAAATTTTTGCATGAAATATGAGTAGAACTGATATTATAATTATTGTTTATTCTATTTTATGAAAATGATTCTTTGGATTCATATTTCATGACTTGCATTGATATGGTGATCTAGATATGAACATATTGATCACAAAATAATTGTGAAAGGATTTAAAATTAGAGTTAAATATAATATGAACTCTTATTTTACATAGGCATATTGGTCCTATGAGTAAAGTTTAAATTTATTATATATCTGAAAATGCTATAACCAATTAAAAGTGATAAATAACAAAGATATATAAGTTGCACAATGGTAGAGAATAAAATTCTCATAAAAAAATTTTGAAATCAAATTTAGAGGTTTCAATAGTCATGAACTTGGAATTGGCTACTAAGCAATTAATATATACATTGAAAACTCATGATAACATTTGAGATAATTGATTTTCACAAAAAGCCATCATTATAAATGAGATAACTTCAATAGCTAAATTTACATGATTTGTAGATATGATGTGAATTATTATGGGTGGCTTAGAATAGCCATAAGCCAAAATTGATGCTACAATCTTGATCACATTATGATAATTTTTTGCTATATATATATATGGTCTAATTTATGGATTGTACAAATGATTTATCATTTATGGTTTTATATAGTGAAAATTTCAAAGTATATTTACTTTGGAAGCCATGAGTGATTCAAAATCTTAGAAATATGAAAACTTTTACAATAGCAAAAGAAATGCTATTGATCCCTTTGGGTGATGAAAATGGTTTTGTTCATGGTAATAAAAAATTATTAATAGTGTCTATGATGAAATAGATTCTTATAAGTATTTATGAATTGATATAAAAGTCTTAAAAGTAGGCTATAGAAACATGATTATATTTGAAATCTACTTATTGATATAAACTCTTATATTGAATTAAAATATAAAAGTTTTGAAAATTTTATAGAAATATTAAGATATTTGCTAGTTATCTTTCATAAACGGTGGATTTGGAGGCCTTCTACTTAAAAAAAAAAAAAAAAAACATAAAATAGTGAAAAGATAACTAAAATGGTAACTTGGTTAAGTATATATAATATCTAAAATAATTTAATGAGACATTCTTTAATAAAAGATGCATAGTTGCACATGGTGGGGGTGATAAGAATCAAAATAAATAAAAATTACCACCATAATGTTGTAAGATTTTAGTATAATTTTATGAACAAATTATACAGACTAATAAGTTTAGGCACTTATTAAACTAAAATCATAAAAAAAGTCCCTAAAAATCTTAAAAAGACTAAAATTATTTGGTTTATTCATTGAGTTTATCCAATTATACGAGAAGTATAATTATATTAAAAATATATAAAAATATGAAAATAGAATGGTTGAAATTAATGAATATAGAGTTGTGGCCACAACCAAAACCAACTATTTCTTAAAATGATAAGAATGAGTCAATAATGTCTAGAACATTTAAATGATACGTAAAATAAAAAGCTTGAACATATTAGCCTGAAGTGATTATATTAGAGATTCAATCTCAAATATGAGTAATTATCATAAAAATAAATTAAATTTAAGATATTTGATTAGTAGTACTACAAGTAGAATGGATTTAAACCTTTCTTATTAGGCACCAATAATGGGAACCCAACTTTAAATTAGTAACATCTATTTATAAAGTTTAATGAGTAAAAACAAATTATTGTTATGTGTCTATTAAACACTAGTAAAATTCATTCAAATTTTAAAAATTAGTGTGATCCATTACGTGGGGAGGATGAGTTTTGTACTCTTAATGGAGTTTTAAATGTCTAAAGCAACAGAAATATAATGAAAACTCTACCTATATAGACATAGAAGTAGTGCCATTTCAATAAGAAGAATTAGGGTCTCTCTTATAAATATTTATGAATAAGATAAGCATATTGCCATAATAGTGCTAAAAGCAATTATAAACATCTGACAGAAAAATAAATAAGTATTATGTGTGTTATATATTCAATTCTAACACTAGGAGTTGAGGTTTAATCTACAGACACCATCAATTTCCTTAGAATTTTAAGATATATACGTTAATTGAAAGTTTAAATCGAGATATACATTTTTATATTCATAATATTTATTTGTGTGAAATGTAAAAATTAAACACTAAGATTCTAAACTAGTGGGGGATTGTTGGTAGTTTAGAATGTGGTACATCCTAGATTGGATAAAAAGATTTAATTATTGATAAATAAAATTAATTTTTGTATTAATTTTATTCATATTTTAAATAATTATGTTTGAATACAAATAATTATCATATGACAAATAATCATAACTATTTAAATGTAAATAAATTATTATTCATAAAGGTTATGATTATATAAAAGATCATAACTATTTAAATAGAAGTTTATGTCTGTTCATTTATTATAAATAAATCTTTTAGCATAACTATTTTCACTACTTCCGATTGAAGAGTTTGATGTTTTATTTTATCCTAAAGACATAATTATCTTTAAAAAAGTGTTCTTCATACCTGAAAGTCCAAATTCTTTTTTATTATTTTTTCTCTTATTTATTTTTTCTATCAGTTATTGTGAAGGGCAAGGAAAATTTTAGATTCAAAGGATCCTTTTGCTTCACAACTTCAATCAGGTAATTAAGAATGCATGGGAACTTCCGAGTTAAGGGAAGTTTATATCAGATGTTAGAATAAAAAATCTGTCAAATACTCCGAATCCATTTCAACTGTTAGAAAGTAGCAATTCTTGAACAGACAATTTTGGAGTGTACATAGCTGAATAATTAAAATGATGTTACCATGATTTAAACCAGGACAAGTAGACTTTCGAAATTATTGCAGGCTCAAAGTCTTCTTCGGATATTGATTGATGGGACTTCAAAAATTTTCATACATATATATATATATATATATGTACATAATGAAGTATCACGGTGACAGAACATAAAATTTTATTGGCAGGTGCTTTCATCTTGAGTTGATCAAATCATCAGCCAAATGTTAGTAAAACAAGCACAATGGAATTAATTATTAAACTCAATTTATTTTGCAGTTAGGACTTAGGACCACTTAAATAATGAATTTACTTTTCTATTCATGTAAAATATCATTCCAAACCAACCACCCAATCGGAGCCAAGATTAGTAGTAATTGCATTCAGGAATGAATAATTAAGTATAATCTTACCGAAAAATGGCTGCAATCACAAAGGTGACCGAGGGAACGGCGTTCATAACTGCAGATGTAAATGATGCTGATGTAAATTTCATTCCCAAGTAAGTGAAGCCTTGATCAAGGATTGGCCTGCCAACAAAATTTTTGTAGCTAGGATGACATACCATAGTGATTTATGACGTTAACTTTGAAACTAGATGCTTTTTTTTTATTAATATGTTAAGCAAAAACAGAAGTAAACCCAGTTTTTGATTAGGTTTGACTGAAGCAGGGAAATTGTTTTATGATTGGAATTTTCCATGAAGTTAAAATGTGGTTACTATTAGATCAACTAATGGAATAATTTCTTTGACAAAAGAAAAGGTACAATTTTTTTCTTACTTATTTTGCTTAAAAACAAATGCATGTATGTATGTTTGTAAATTGAAGAAGTATTTGGTGAGAAACATTACTCTAGAAATCCCAATGTGATTATTTGTAAGAAGATTGGCAAAGTCATCTTTGGCCTTGTTTTCCTGTAGTAAGGATGAAGAAAAAAAAAGATGGAAAAAAAAAAAGAATTAGGCATATAGAGATTAGTGATATATTCCGTCAACAAGTAGTTGACAACTGCTAATATTATGGTGCATGCATCACAACTATACATGAATGTGTGTAACATGTGAGACTTTCTCTTGAGATTTAAGACAGACCTCTCAAGCAGCAGTGCAAAAGGTGCAAGTACAAGTGCAGCAATAGCATTACGGTACACAATGAGCACGTAACGATTCATGCCTTGGTTGAGAGTTACCATGCTGATTATATACATCCCTGCTGCACCAAATTGCAAGCATACCATGAAGAAATAAGGCCTTGCCTTTTTGAAATTTGCGCTTAGGGTTCCAGTTAAAGTTTGGTCTCTCATCTTGCTCTAACTTAGAAAAAGAAACTTTACCTGAATTGTTGAGTAAGAATTGATCAAACTGCACTCATATATATAACCCATGTAAAGTACTTAATCATCTTAGAATCTCCAGGGACCCTGATCCACTTATCTTCAGACGCTGATGCTTGCTTTTGCCATCAACATCCATTTCATATCATTCAAAGAGGAAGACAAAATGCTGGTATAGTTTATTCTTTTTCATTTTTAAAGATGGGAGTGGAAGACACAAAATACTGGTATGGCTAAGTCTATTGTCCTATGGTGATCGCTGAAATATAAAATAAGTCTCTAAGGGAATAGCAGGCATATTGCGTGTGGGACATGAAAACTGTTAAGCTGAGAGACAAAAGGTTACAAAAAAGAATTACTAACTCTATAGTGTCATTAAGATATACTGATGGTCTTTCAACATGTGCTATATGCAAAATGCATTGTGTGCTCTGCCTATCCCATGTTCTTGTAGATTCCATATCTATAATTCAATTAAGCCAGGTTAGGACTTCTGCTAACCAAGTCTATAATTCTTTGGCACTTATCTGTTTCAAGGAAATAATATAACAATCACTACTATTGAAGAAAAATACAAGAGAAATAGTAGCAATAATCCACCATATGCAACAACTTGAATGTCTGGTAATGGAAATGCTTTGATTTGAGTCAAAGTTATAACAAGATTCCAAATGCTAATTAAGGTGGACTTTGACTAAGTTTTTGGCATGTTCTATGCTGTTTTATCAGCTAAACTGTAATTTGTTTCTTACTCTGACAATTACATATAATTCAAGATTATCTGATATAGTGGCCTGGTATCCACAATAGCCAAACAAATCTATTTGGCATTTAATATAAAGAGAGACATCAGATACATATGAAACAATGCAATCTGAATCTGATTATAATAATAAGCACTCACTCCATCTCTCATAACAGGAAAACTTCCATGATTACAATGCGTAAGCAAAAGAACAGAAACGATCATAGAAATACATTCTCTCTCCCTTCTTTTTGAATGTTACAATAAACTATACATGGAGAATATAATTGATAAAAGTGCATGATGAGATCAGGCCATAGAAACTAAGTGCTTGTAGGTTTGTTGTCCATAGTGGAATTCAGGGCTGTTCTAATCCTATTAGACAATTTTCACGCCAGTCCATGAACAGAACTTAGCTCATCTAAAGCAAAACATTTTCATTTCACAAATTTTATTAAGTAGGTTGCTGACTTGACATCATTATCATTTCAAAAAGCTTCATTGATTCTTTTTTTTTTTTTTCACAAACAAAAAGAGAGGAAAACAAAAAAAGGTTGGTGCAATTCTGTGGATTTATATTTATAAGGCCTGCCCTGACATCTGGAAGTGCCACATAAAAAAAAATAGAAACAATGGCTAGCTCTGAATAATTCCATTTATTGTTGCTTCTCATTCAGCATGCATGATGTGGACATGAAAGCAAATCCTTTGCCTCAAAACCACAATCACATCAATATCTCAATAATAAACTCTGAGACTTGATGGGCATGACCAGGAGGAAGAATTTGCTCCTACAAGCAAAATGAATAAGACTTGTATGTTTACTGATCAACTGTGTCAAATGTTTTTGGTCAATTTGTTATTGTATCACAAATATTCAGTCAGGATTGAAACAAAAACCAAAGGACAGGATTTTGGAAGTGCAAATAAGATGGCAGAGGCAATCAATCAAATGGTTGTACAAAGTTCCTCTTAATTGTAGGATTTTAGTCCTTTTCCTTTTTTTTTTTTCCCTTGTTTTGAAGTTGATACAATCCACCATTTCGAGTAAAGACTACGAGTCATAAAAGAAAAGAGATTGAAAAGAAAGAAACAAAGATGATGCAGGTTTTGACAACCCTTTATGGCTTTTATTCCATATACTTATCCTTAGTATAAAGCTTGTCTTGCGGAGCTCTTTGTCATGTCTAGTATTGTCTTAAGTTTGAAAGTACGAACCAATCTTGCGTTCATTCCGCAGATTGTCTGTACGAAAAAAAAATGACAATTCAGAATTTTTTTCCAAGGTTTGTACCAATCTCAAACTATCAATTTCATTTGCTAGAGCTACAGGAAAGCAAGCCGTGCTCCATCCGTATAAGTTCACTTCTGTTAAGAACAATTCAGTGATGACAATTTTGTGTAGTCATGACAGAAGAACACTGCAGTTAAAGCATTAAAGGGGTCTGATTCAACATAGGGCAGCCACTTATTGTCCAAATCAGCTCAATTTCTCTGCTTTAAGATGCCAAAGCTGCAAGGCACTTGAGAAAAATCAGCCTAAGTCCATGTTCAACTAATTGAGTATTGGAGACCGAACTTGCAGACCTGAAAAATAAGACGTTAAATCAGGGAAAAAGGGTCAGAAAGACAGAAAGGCTACATTCTTTGCTTTAATGCTCTTTCAGTCTTTGCATGAGATTTTCTTGCTTCCTTTCACTACTTTTATCTCATCATTTCTTGAAACATTATCTCCTTTCAGTAATTGACTTCACATTTTGATAACTAGTACCTTTTCCTTGCTCAAAGCCTGTGATCTAGGGTAGAAAGTTTAAGACAGTGTACAAGTTGAGATACCCAATGAATCAAATTTTGGAGGCTTTCGGCTTCCAGGATCTCAAGGATCTTTTGAGATAACTAGTGGGATTCTCCTGACAAACCAATGCAATCCTTTAATTGTTCCTGCAACTTCTTGTTGATAAGAAACAACATATAAACATGCATATCCACTCCCCAGACAATATGTTTGGTAATACAGATCATTCATAAGAAAAGCACTCTCAAAGGAGTTGGAAAAATGTCATTTCAAGTTTGTGGAGTCATGGTTAAACAAGCCACAAGCAATTCTATCAACTTTCTAGGCTGTCACCCATCAGAATAAAATTTCAAAATCAATTGGTGAACCACAGAACCTGGACATTCTCAGTGGAAAACTACACCAGCAAATCCCAAATCATCAATTCCTTTGCAATTGCAGTAAGATATAACAAAATGAAATTATTCCTCAGTTTCAAAAAGATGGCAAATTGCTTTTTGGCAAGAAAAGATGCCAAATCAGATTTCCCAAAATGGTAGAATCGGATAAGGCCAGATATGGAATCACCAATATTCATGAGACTTTAAAGTTGCATACCAAAGGAAAAAAGTACACGAAAAAGTTGGTTGCACTAGAAAGTTTGTAGTGCATGATTAAAGGGATGAACTTAACACCTTGGAAAATGATTGGTCTTTGATATACATATATATATATATATATATATATATATGAATATGATAGCTAAATAATTGTTTTCACGAAAGTTTAAATCCCCATATGATTTTCTTATAATTAAATCAAATAAATCATTTTAAAAAATAAAATAAATCTTAAATAATAGAGGATATAAATGACCTTGATGATATACTAATCAGAGAATGCATAGTGCAAAAGGAATGATATTAATTATATTTACAATTTTTCCACTTAAAATTTGTGCAAATTATTGAATGCAAAATTGAAATCCACCCACAATTTAGTAGTTAATAAAACATAATGGTGGGATGGGATGACCCACGGACTTCTACAATTACTTAAAGAATATAGAAACTGATATAAAGCAGAGGAGAGTTCTGTCCTGTTAGTAGAAAGCAGAAGGAAATTCATAGTGGGAAAAACTTTATCTGTTGGTTTCTTTAGAATGATTGAAGTAAGAGATCATGGGTGGGTGTCCAAGAACGAGCTGCTTTCCCTCGGCAATGGGAGAGAAGATACCGAGAGGACGCATTCACGACACGTTACTAAACCTTACAGTTGATCATATTCTGTTGCAAGTTATGATGAGAATATGAAGATGAAAATGAAGAGCATTCAACTTGGCAAAGATGATCAAAATGAAGATCATTCAACTTGGCAAAGAAGATCAACTCTCAATTAGGAGCTACTTAACAACATAAGTTGTAAAATGATGATGATAGGTCATGACCATCCAATTTATTGAACCCAATGCTACCTGCGAAGAAGCTTTGAGCCCCAATCAAAATATATGGTCAAGTTACATATGATAGAACCTTTCAACTTGGAAGGTCCGATTGATGCAAAGGATGCATAGTGCGGCACTGGAATCAGCCAAAGTTCTCAATCCAGTCACTTGCAAGAATGGTAACCTACTTTGAAGTAATATTAAATTTCTTTTAGCCAAATGATAAAAAGAAATAAAGGCAAAAGAAAAGGAAAAGAAGAGAAATCAACCAATTGGTTCAATAACTCTGTATCATTTTACGTTAAAGTCATACATAATGACAGTAAAAGTCCTTTAACCATCTGCGACAGATGCAGGTGGCTAGAACTCTTCATCTATTGTACAATCTTTTTCATTTTCTTTTCCCTTTGGTGCTTGAAATTGGCACCTACTGGTACCCACTAGACCAGGGTATTGTTAACATGATATATGAAAAAGATGAAATGAGGATAAAGTCAATCGTGCACCATAGAAAGGCAGAAGTTTAATAGCAATCAAAGCACGGACAGCTTGGGGCCATTGAAACAATGGATTAGTCAAAAGTTGTAAAAAATGGAATGAATATGACATTAAAGAACCATGATTGATGCAAGTTTTCATTTTATCACTTTCCAGGCCTTAAAGTGGCCTGCTTTTGTTTGCATGGAATTAATAATATAGAAGAAATGAAATGAAATTTTTGTTTATCAGAGGAAATCACAGTGTCAGTGATGATGACAAGATTTTTGATGGACCTAGTCAAACTTAGTTAAATGACAATCTAAATCAAAATCCTTTTCCCTACTTGTTCTACATGAGCTTCAATATCCATCATATAACCAAAAATTACAGACTATTACTGTCTAAAAGCAGCTGCTATCTTCTTTTGGACAAGCTCCGGCCCAAGTCGAGGAGATAATCTAGGCAGTATTTCCTGAAAGAAAGGTTGATATTGGTGTGAGATATCTTCTTCAGCATTGATCCATATAAATTGCACATTTTAATCCCAAAATTGTAAAGACTACTGCAAGGGTAACTAGAAAAGGATAATCTTAGTTTAAATATCCTATATATATATATATATATATATATCTGTCCGTAGTAATGTTTTTATATTATATCACTTAAAGTATCTTCAAATATTGTTGATATAACTCAATTATCTGTCTATATAACAAATATCTTGGGAATCTCAATATGTTATGCTGATATATAAAACCTTGTTTTTAGTACGGCCTCAACACACTTCTGCATTACCAGCCACTACATTTATACATCCTAATTAATTTTGCATAAAGTAGCATCATCATTGAATGGTCAATAAGATTCCACCAGCTACTAAAAGGCAACAATATAATCAGAAACTTTGGACTGAACTATAGCCATGAAAAGGGCAGGATATCTGATGAAAAAAGATGATAAGCATTGAAAAGTCGTGATGCAAAAGGGAATCTGCATCACCATGAACCTGTGCACAGGATGAACATGATTGGAAGTTGTGATGCTTTGTTAATGCAGAAGGGAATCTGCATCACTCAGAATCTGCACCATCCATGTGTGAAGAGGAGTTATTCCACTATTATACTAAATTTATATAGATTATATTTGGCAAAAAGACACCAGAATGCAAACGAAGGGACTTGCCCACCATGAAAACAGTAGCAGTGGAAAGAAATCCACCAAATAGAAGAGGGAAAGAACAAAATGTATTTAAACTTTTTCACTACAGATAACCTCATTCAGATTCTATATCATACTCCCTTTGTCCCATAAATGATGTCCCAATTTGACTTTTAAGTGTCAAACTTTTTCAACTTCAACTTCATTTTATTTTATATATATTGTTAATTAAAATATGAGAAAATAATTTTTAAAAACCTTGAATGAGGAAGTTTTCAAATATAAGTTTATAAAAAAAATTAATTTAATAAAATATTTAAAATATCAATGATCAAAGAGGTTTTCAAATAGTATGTTTCATGTAATTCCTTTGTACTAATGATAGAGATTACTCTCCACCTAAGATAAACTATAGTAAGTCTGCCTAAACCTTATTTACTAGTTTTACAGACCTCACCCTAGCAATCATACAATGTCACCTCTTAAAAACACTGTTTCAAGAACAAGTGGTTGCTCTTTTCAACCTGAGAATGGGCAACTAATGCCTTCTACATACCGAACGAAGCTAAAATGGTGTTCATCTCTTATTCATAAATGAACTGCTTACCTTGAAATGACCTGGCCCAACAGAAATTCCAAATTCGTTGGGCCCTTTATTAAAATCAAACAAAAAAGCCAATATTCTAGAAGCTTAAACCGTGTGAGGAAATCCTCTTCAATTTCCTCAAACTTCAATTCATATATATAACAGAGAAATCCTTTACATATGATAGAACAAGATCCATTTTACAAAATACAAAGGATTCCTTGGTTTAGCTCTAAGAGCAATATCACTCAACTATAGTGTAACTTTGCCACCAAACTCGTATCGAATATTCAATTTTAGCCACTTTACTCCAATTAGGTTCAATCAACTAACTTAAACTTTATTTACTGGAATACATAGCAAATGAATTATTTATGTAAGAAAAAGGAGATTGTATTTTAAGAAACATTTTTATATAGTTATATAAATACATTTTCCATCCTGTAACTTTATTGCACTATACTTCTATACTGCTATTGGGCCAGTACAAGTGTTTTATGCAACAAAAAATTGAAAGATGAGAATTACTGGCTAATTGCATACAAACAATGTATCCAAATAAAATGCACAATCGGAAAACCATAGCTGCATAACAATTTATGTTATAGTTACATATAATTGTTGCTAAGATTTAAATTCAGAAAGGTTTTTCAATTAAGAAGATAAATACATATATCCAATTATAGCCCTTCTGTATAGAAAATACATATCCTTTTTCATAATTTCCATAGTTTAAGTGGTAAAGGTATGTATTTTAATTAGGGTCATATTCAATGTTTTGATCCTCCCATATACACCGGCTCATCATTTTAAAAATCCATTTTATCTACAGAAACTTATGGCATCTTCCTATTATGTCATAAACAACAAGTTTCTCAAAATGACTTCTAAGAACTTGGACATAATCCAGATCATAAGCAAGAATCATTTTGAATTTTCAATTTAAATGTGTAAACAATCACAAGGATCTAGATTCTGGATGCATGCAATATCCAAGACATCTCTTGAAGCAACTAGGCCATGTTGCTGAATTTAGGTAATTCAGGAATCTAATGAATGAACCTTAAACTCTTGCTTTAGCCACTTGCACTAATATTTTCTTTGTAGCTTTTTGGTTCACAGTTTCAAAAGCTGCACGTAGGAAAAAGATCTCAAAATAACAGACAGCGGGCTTCTACAAGATGAGATCACATCCTTTGCCAAAGGAGTCTCCATAGGGATATGTCACCACGCAAACCATGATAGGAAACTAAGCCACTAGGGTTGCAAATAAGTCCCAAAAATGTTCAGCACTTCTTATATTTTTTGGATAATTGAGCTCAAAGCACTTCAGTTTCATGTAATACAGGATAATACTAAGAAATATAACCAGACATAGACAAATAAAATAGGGCTGAGCTTATGCATGGTTATGATGATCTTGCAATAATAAAGGATTCTACTCACTACCAGTGGTGCTAAACACTTCCTTTGGCTGCTGTTTACCTGAATCCACTTTAAATTTTGATGGCATGTAGGTCAATGAAGACTTAAGTCAGTGTTGCAAGGATATCCAACACTCAAGCAAGAACTGGAAACTTTGTGAGTGAGTTATTTTTACACACAATCACCTCATCAGGCTTAATTAGCTAATTATCAACTGCAAGACAGCCTTAGCTGTTGAACCAGTATTCCAGATGATATATAAATAACCCTTGCAACAGTTTTAGAACCTTATAATTCCCTGTGGTGCAACAACAGTTGTTCAATAGAACTCTTACCAAGAGAGGATATTCTTTCCAGTACATCATGTATGACTTAAATGAGACTTTGTGGTGCTAAGATAATGGTGGAGTCCTACAGTTATTAATGCATTAAGTTTGATAATCAATTGAATGTCTTGAAATATAGAACCAGCATATTCTTTTACCATAACTTTTACCAAACATATTGTGGATTATTCACAAAGTTAAAGAGCTGATTATGCAAGAACCTACGTATATCTTAGTAGTATTGCAGGCAGTAGTTTTCCCAACATGGATCCTAGGTGTACTATGCGTTGTAAAATCCCATGGAAAATGTTGAAAATTGTAATAATTAAGCTGCTAGTCCTATAATAAAGAATATGTGGCTTTGCAGTTCAACAATTAAGAATGGAACGGAATGACTATCACTTCTCCATATTACTACAACTGCGGAGCACATCTTGAACAACAAGATGCCAACTTAAGAGGTAAAATTCTATTGCAAGTTCATAATCAAAATCAAGCTACTGTTAAAGCAACAATAATGAGAAAAGGTAACCAAAAAATAAAGACAAGAATAAAATTTCACAAAGTTGTTTTATATTGGTCTAAGATTTGACAGTCTCATCCACAATATTCATCAAGGACAAAGCTTCCATAGCTAGACTAGCGAAATAGTCTACACTAAATCAGCATTTTTGTAATGTACTTTCCTTTTAAGAACCTATGCTTGTAATAGTTTACTTCTAAATAAAGCATTTGGGAATATGCATCTAACTTCTATAAGGCCTAGTCATTAAAGTATTCCCCAGTTGTTTAAACCACCTTATTTAAAAGAGACCCAGACCAGGTCTCCCATTGTCACAGAAGCTTGCTTCTGCAAGTACTCAGCAAGTTTCAACATCTCGTTTATCCAAAATTTCTTGCTCATTTTCAGTGACCTCCATTCCAAATGAGTTTGCTTTGACACACTTCAGCAGAAAAGAATCAACTTTGCAAGGTTATAGTGTGAAACAATCCATGTTAAATTCTTTATCTAGGATTCTCACATTCATAAATAAAAACATCAATAATACAAGTTTCCAGGCACCATAGTAGCGTTTTTATTAAAAAAATTGACAAAACAGACAAAACCAGAAAAACCCAAATAGAGAAAAAGCTAACCTCAGTGCCATCAGAGAGTACTTTGGCTAAAACGGGTATCTCATATTGGTATGCCTTCTCCCACTCAGGATTGCTGGTAATATCCCTCACCTAGCAAAAGAACCCAACAACCAAAATTTTCCAAGCTTCAATCTTTACTTGTGTAAAGATTGAGAATGGGAGGTGGGGGTTTTACCTGTAAAACGATGTCATGTAGGGAATCTGGGCCAGACAGTGAGAAGGCGGCGTGGAGTTTTTCTTTGAGGCCATCGCATAGACAGCAACCAGGCTTTGAGTAGAGAACCAGCTTTCTTGCTTCGGATGCTGAAGAAGAAAATGACAAAGGAGTGAAAACCCGTCTGAGTTTATGCCTGGGGATGCGAGCTATGGATAAGGATCTTGCTGCCATAGTTGTAGTTGTTGGCAATGTTCCAATTACTTTGGATAGCATTTTGCAAAGCTCACCAGCCACAACCAGTACAGCAGTCACCAGGTTTTATAGCTTTTGTTTGTGCGTTTGGATTGGGGCTAAAAGTTTTAATACTGTTACAAATTTTCTTTTGTTTTGTTTTCCTTAATTTCGAGCGGTAGTTTTTTTTTTTTTTTTTTTAGAATTAAAAAAAAAATGTGGTTTAACAAAAATATTTAGTAATTTATGTCTTGATCAGAAATAATTAATAAAAATAACAATATATATCATTATTAAAGCAGAAATAAAAAATATTTTTATATTTTTAATATTTAATGAATATTAACTCAAAATTATAGGCAATTATCATATATATATATATATATATATATATATATATATATATATATATACAAACAAAATATGCATGCATTTAATCGAACAATTTGTAAGATAAATTTTGTAAATATATGGAGCATAAGATTTTTCATTGGAAATGTCACATGGTAGCTTCATAATTTACCCTTTTTTTGTTTTATAATTTTTTTTTAATTTAAACAAAAAAAGAATGAGAGAGAAGTAAGCAAAATGTTTATGATATAAGCAATTAATAAATATCACGTTTTAACATAAATATATATATATAATTGAAAAGCTAATAAAAATCATAATTTTTGTTTTTAATACGTTACATTTTTCATATAATAACGTAGTCTTTATAAAATCAAAATCAACTTTCACCAATATATATTTGTCGAGCCTCATTTTTAACGTGATATTGCTTTCATGAATTTTGAAAGTAAAAAGATAAGATGTATTGCTTCCATGAGCTTTCATGAGCTCTCATCCATAAATATTTTTTTCTAAAAGAACTTTTTAAGAAAGTAAAAAAAAAAAATTTGATGAAATTTTGATACACAAATATTATGTTTCTTACAAAAAAAAAATGTAATTTTTATAGTTTTTATTGTAAAAAAAGCTCTTAATAAAATAAGATGAGAAGATTTTGTGAGATTTTAAAGTATAAAGACTACTTTTTTTACATAAGAAATGTAGTCTTTTGTAGTTTTTTATTATAAAAATTTTTTTAGAAAAGTAAAAAGAGAAGAATTTGTTACATTTTGGTACAAAAACACTACGTTTCTTATATAAGAAATGTAATTTTTGTAGTTTTTTGTTGTAAAAAAAATTCTTTAAAAAGTAAAGAGAAGATTTGGTTAGATTCATTGATTTATCTTTTCGATTATAACTTTTGCTTTAATGTACAAAGATTACATCTTTTACATAAGAAAAGTAATATTTGTAGTTTTTTGTTGTGAAAAGAAAAAAGTCTTTAGAAAAGTAAAATGAGAAGATTTTGTGAGATTTTGGCACATAAAAACTGTCTTTCTTATGTAAGATAGATAATTTTTGTAGTTTTTTGTTGTAAAAAAAAGTTTTGGAAGAGTAAAGGAGAAAATTTGATGAGATTAAATGAATAAACATAATAAATGATTGCAAAATTATGTTTTTGAATTTTTTAAAAAAGAAATTTTACAAAGTATTACGTTTTTATATTTAAAACATAGTAAATAAATTAAAATAAAGTAAAATAAATTAGATATTTTCATTCCAACAATGTTTTTTATGTATATCATAACGTATAGATTCATTGGCCTGTCGCTAGATTTAATTTAAAGAGTTCTATCAATTTTTATTTAAATATAATTGATCACTTAATTGAATATGTTTATTTTTAAAGAGAAATCTCAAACTTGATTTAGTTATTTTTAAAAAGTAGATTTTAGTCTATGAAACTAAATTTATGTTCAAGAGTACAATTACATATGAAAAAGATTAAACATTCTCACAGCGCTCACAAAAAAGATGATATCAGTTTGATTTCAAGTTATTTAAGCCTTAATATATTTTTATAATTTTTATCAAATAATTTAATTATTAAAAATTAATCTTAAAATTATTCCAATAGTTTAGTAACAATTTAAAATAATTTTTTTCACTTTAAGAGTATTCACAAAGACTAATGTTTTACTTTGAAGAGGTTTCATCGTCGGATTAATTAACATGTTTTATTTAAAAAGTAAACAGTAAAATCATCCAATAGTTTTGATGAAATTTTATTTGAAAAGTCACTCATATAATTATTTTAAGAAAATTGATTAAAATTTTTAGTAGTTTTATAAGATCTAATTCAAGATTTATATTCTTTAATGTTTGATTGAATTAAAAAATTTTATTTAAAAAAATTCATTAAATCCTTTAATAATTTGGTAAGAGTAAATTTAGATATTTGAATCCTCTAATAACTTAGTACATTGTTGTTTTTTTAAAATGAATTTAATTAGGAACTATCAAGAAAATCATGTTCATATCATCTTTTAATTCCACCATAGTAAAGTTTTATTTACTATTAAAGTTTAACTAAATTACATGACTTTAATAATATTTTAATTAAAGAAAATCACATTGACAAATCTATTTTATTGAGTCATATTTTGAATTTTTTTTAATTGCTAAACAAGTAGCCTAAGATGCATAAATAATGAAAGTGAGTAACTAAGTAAATAAACGATGAAAGATAAACAATGAAAACTAAATAAGAAAAAGAAAGGAAAACCTGAGTTACGATCCCTAATAAGAAACGGATCAAGTCTAGAAGAGTAGGCTTGGCTTTTTTACCTCAGGTTTGTGGGGCTTAAATCTTCTTAAATCAGACCAAAATTATTTTTTTACTTCGACCAAGTCTTTCGATCTGAAATATCTCATTTTATAAAATCCCACCTTTCTGTAATCAGCCACTCCTTCCCTCTAGAAACTAGCCGCTCTTTCCCTCTGGAAACCAACCCCCAATTTCCTCACCAACAACTCCCTTTCGTCAACCACAAATTCCAAGCTTCAACGACAGATCGTCGCGACCAGAGCCACTAAGAAGCTTCACCTATTCTTACTTGTTTAGCTATTGTCTAACTCAAAGCCACCTAAAATTGTTTCTTCCCTTACAAATTGAGAAACTTAAATAAAACTCTAAATGGAACTCCCAAAACTCCTTACTAGCGATACCCAAAATCACTTCATTTCTCGATATTTTGTTGCTCTCACCGATTATTTTTGGGTATGCCCCCATCTGCTGCTTGCTCTGTGTATTCCCTTTCTGTATGATTTATGTATTCCTCCCTTTTTATGTGTGCTTGCTGTTCGTTTTATAGGGATTTAATCCCTTTAATTTGAAAAAAATCAACTGAATGAATATAAATATGATTTGATTCGATTTGATTTTGCTTTGAATTAATTTTGTGATTTATTTTGCATGAATTAAACCCAAACTTTCCATAATCTCTTTGATCATGAGCTCCAAGAATAGAATCCAAATCTCGGTGGAAAATCCCACCTTTTTGTTTTTGGGTTTTTTATTTTTTATTTTTGATATTTGTTTTAGCCTTTGAATTGGAAAATTAAAATTAAAATTTTTGGACTTTTAATTGTTTGGGCTCAAAATGCATTTTTCGTATTACGGCTTAATTTGTGATCAAAGCTCATTTATTTCGAAAAACTTTTTAGACAAAATAAAATATCTATAGTCATCTCTTTACACAATTTTTATGAAACAAAAATTGTAAAAGGTTATAAATACCTATTACATCCTACTTAAATTAGTTAACTTTTTTTTTAAAAGGTTTTTCGGAAATGAAGATAAATTCTTAAAAAATTAAGGATGACACTATATGGTTTTAATAATCATACCTAGAGATCTTATAAATCGTATTCGAAGAATGTAAAGATTAAGTCTAAAAATCTTACAAATTATTCAATGAAAAATGCTATTTTAAACAAAGATTTTATAACTTTTAAAAATATATATCTAAAGGTTTTAAAAGATCATGTTTAGAAATTTTATAGATTATACTTAGAAAATTTGAAGATTATACTCGAAGATTTTACAAATATCGACTCTAAAATAGATTTAGCTTAGAAGACTTATGAATCTTACCAAAACGATTTGAAGATTATGCCTAGATGTCTTATAAATTTTGACTCTAAAATTGATTTAGCTAGGAAGACTTACAAATTTTACTTGGAGGATTTGAAGATTATGCTTGAAAGTCTTATAAATCTCAACTCTAAAACATATTCAGCTCAAAACTTACGAATATTACCCAAAAGACTTAGAGATTATGCCCAAAGATCTTACAAATTTTGACTCTAAAATAAATTTAGCTCAAAAGACTTACGAATCTTATCTAGAAGACTTGATAATTATGCCTGAAGGTTTTATAAATCAAACTTCGAAAAAGCTTTTTTAAAACAAATGTTCAACCACTTTAAAAAAATAGATATTTGGAGATTTTAAAAATCATACTTGAAAGTCTTATAGATCTTATCGGAGAATTTAAAAAGAGCTCAATAGTTTTAAAAATGCACTCATAGGTTTTTAAACTAATACTTAAATTTTTAACAAATATACCTTGAGGTAAAATATTGTTCGATCAAAGTTTTTTTTTTTATAAAAAATTTAAGTCAACATCTCTTTCCCTTAAAAAAATATGAATGCAATATATGAAATGGATGTGATGCATACAATAAATGAAATGCAATTAAATGCAATGCATGAATTCTATACCAAAATGTCTTTAATTGTGGTAATGAGGATTCTCGAAACTTTTCTTCATTTCATCTTTCCATGACATAGCCTCTAATTTAGTTGACAAGTTCTTTCACGTACTTAAAGCAAACATTATCAACATTTTCATTCTTGAAAACCATTTCCGTCGTCTCTAGTGAGTTTTTTTCAATATTGGTCCTTACATTTGGCATTTTCTTGCCACCAAAAAGGTCTTTATAGCATTCACCTATCTCTCATCACGAGTATTAAGATTCAATATATTTTGAATATTTCTCAAAAACTTCCTAAAAAAAATAGCAGTGAAAATTGCCTCACATAATTCTCTTTCATATGTGATCAAATCTCTTAAAAAGTAGTGATTACTACCTAGAATAGGGATGATGAATAACAACTTTGGTCTTTCCAAAACGACGCAATAGTTTGGCACAT